CATAGTTCACTGGAGGGGCCAAGACAGGGGCTGAGGGGGGAGGCACAAGTACCCCTTAGTCTATTGTATTAAAAGAGGCCCTGCAGTAGTTCACTTTCGGAGTTATAACATTGTGACTTTGCGTCAGCAAGCAGGAATCAGAACAAACTGATATTTAATAAGCGCTTTTTTGAAAACCCAAGAACTGGCCATGTGTATTTTGTCGCTCGAAAATAAGCACATAAATGACTTTAATTATAATCGCTACTTAGTAACAAACAAATCATATAGAGAAATAAGAGAATGTAAGAATAGCTAGATTGCTGGAATTTAGTTTACATAAAACTGAAATTGAGGAATATTATTGTTATCCATTATGGCATGTATCTAACCCAATCTCATCATTCGCAAATAAAATTCCCTTCATGGAAAATGAATTCCAACCCAAAAGAAAATATTTATTTTTCTCTTCTGTGTATTCATGAACTTATCCATGTGTGGGGAGCGTTCCTTTAGTGCAATCCGAATTTGGATTTTCAGTTTCATTTAACAAAATCTTAACGTAGATTCGAATCTGATAATTCCACCGCAACAAACTGTATGGATTTTTCGGATTCAATCTGAAACTTGATTAGGATTCAACGTTCCTTTTGAGCTTCTGGCCATCTAGCATCTACCTTGACACGACCGAAAGGTATAATGGGACAGAAAACTTATTGTAAAAATGGAGGGAAAACAGCAGGCGAATTCCGATTCTCACAATTCGTTTCATTTGTTTAACGAATGCAAAAAATCCGAATTCTAAAAATCCAAATCTAGACTTACAGAAGAAACGCTCCTTATAAAATTTTAGTAGAAATAAACTCTAAATATATTATAATAATTATATTCCCGAGAGTTCCGTGTAGAGGAACATCCACACGCCTGGGTACAAGGTCAATGACAAAGGTGCACATCATTCCATCAGCGCTGATTGGTTGAAATCACATCAATCATGCTACCCGTAACGACAAGCGTAAGGGACTCTGTTTAGATCAGAGAACATGCTGAATCGCTACAAGACGACCGAGTCACTCGAACTTTTAGAATTTTGTTCTGTTTTGCACAAAAGTTTAAGTGAAAGGTCTTTCAACATTTTAACAACAACGTTGTTGTTCGCTTGCTAAATAGACATCATCGTTTAAAGTATTTGGTAGAAGAAGGCGAACCTAGAACGAACAGACAAATCGCCATCGAACAGGATGTCACTCGTTTTAAGTTTTTACGTGAAGTTTGTTTTTATTGTTATATTTCTCTATACAGCCAATAATGCCGAAAAGCTGCCTGGTTTCTTTATGTTGAAGAAGAGAGGTTAGTAAAGTTGAAGTTCTTTGTAGATTTGCATGGCGATAAAACATATAATAATTTTTGTTTGTGGAAACACCACGTAAATTTGTTACTGCAAAATTTTCTATCTGTAATCTTCATCACATACATGTATTATCAGCATTAATGTAGATCCGGACTTACGTGGTGTTTATTCAATCCGTTTCCTTCGGCTTGGATTAAGTCAGATATCTTTCGACGTTTTGATGAATAAAATATTTATTTAATTGCGTTAGGAAAGCTCAAAATAATAATGTCAAATATAATAATCTTGCCGACTATGAGACGCGTGTCAATTAGACAACCTGGCGACATGCACATATATACATATTGGACTACTATAGACAATTTGTTAACTGTACGAATTAAACAGTGAACAGATTGAGTAATGTTTCCAAAATTCGTAAATATTTTAATATTAAGTGTATAATTTGGAGTAAATGCCCTGGGTGAGGTTGTGATAAAACTCTTAAAATTAAAGTACTTTTTTAATTACTATTTTCTAATTAAACAGTAATTCACTCTAAAATATACGACCAACTGTCCGGCGCGGACCCTGTTTATTTATAGTATAATGTAATAAATTTTGAACAATATAAGAAAATTCAACTCTTGGGACGCTTTCCATCAACATGGCCAGACCGGTCAGAACGTTCAAATTGTTGAATGAAACATTCAACAGGGCTTCGGACCTATCTGACCGAAAAATTTAGATAAAATTAGAATGAGGTCCATTTTCGCTAGATATTTGAGAAACATATACCAGATCTTTCCATTGCTACAGAGAAGAATTCGGATCTGACGGGTCAGGCCATTAAATGGAAAGCGCCCTTGTTCTAAATTGACACGAGGGAAAATCAGCATTTTGGGACAGATAAATTTAATCCTGCATGTTTTTATTTATTGTGCTTCGCTTCCAAACATCATATAACAATTGCGTTAAAGAAGCTGTGACACCACAGCAGCACATTTGACGTCTGCTTGTGTTACATTTGATACAGACATTCTTCCAAGTTCGTGAATCATCAACGTTGTAGCAGGATGAAGGATCGTAATGCAGTCAAGTAGTATGCTAATATTCCTTTCTTAAATTGAATAAAAAAAATTATTAAGCCTTAAATTCTCCGGGAGATATTTCCAAGTTCTAGTTGTTCGAAGAAAGAATGATGTTCGTATACATGTATGTTTGTATACCTTCGCCACATCGTTTTCACATTCAACTACACAGCATTACTCATCGCGCATCTGGTTTTGTAACTTTGGACCATTGAAGTGGGGAAAAGGCCCTTCGATTAACCTTTGGTATACGATTGTCGGTCTGAATAAATTTCAGGTTTATTAAAGAAATATGTCAATATGTGTGAAAAATTAGCTTCCAATATAAATTTATTTATAAACGAAAATGCCACCCTGAAATGATATTAATTAAATGCGAACGAGTAGCAAACATGAAAGGATCCTGCTGTGTTTAAAATTAAACTGAAAATGCATCTCAGTCCAATTTTTTGATGAATACAGTCGATGTGGGCATTTAGGGAGCCCACCAGCAAGGTTATTGTATATATAACCTTATATTCTACGGGTTCTCCATGCAGTTTTCTTCAAGAAATTACCCTTAGGCAAAGGCAGCTAAGTTGGCGTTTATAAGACTCGGTTAGGTTTATTTAAACTTCATTGCAGTGCGTTGAATTAAATACAGTATCCGAGTGGCTTGATTTTCGATCTTCCAGCAAACATGGTGAAAATATTATCTTTCGGATCAAACAAAAGAGAGTTTAAGTTAAACGATCCAAACTTGCACTGGACAATAAATTTCTACCTTGCTTCATCTGATAGTATTAGAGCATATAAATTGGAATATATAATGCAGGAATTTCCTTGAGAATTTCCCTTTTGAACTTTCGATAATTATTTTGAACTTTATCGATTCATTGTCTAATCTCTTGTTTTTTTTGGCAGAGTATCGACTCAAGGATAGTCTTTTGCGATCCATAACTGCACAAAACCAAATAACATGTGCTCATCATTGTTCGTTAGAGAATTCACTGAATTCCAAATGCAAGTCCTTCAACTTCATTACAGATCCCACAGTTCACTCAAACTGCGAACTAAATTCAAATGTGGCTGAAACTGCTGATGATCAAAATCTGGTCCCAAGCTCTCGATCGAGCTACTTTGAGACGGTAGCAACAGATGAAGGTATTTTGATTTTTGTAATAAACTACTGGCCGTTGACTTTAGAAAGCTACCTGCACGTACAGCTTGATTTAATGCTGGAATGTACAAACCTGGTATAAACTGTAAGAGTTTATTACACCTGACTGTTGTCGTTGTATTGACATAGGCCCTTTGGATAACCAAGCACATAACTACACATGGCGAGAAATATTGGTCACGCACGCGCAGTAAATACACAGACTTGGAAAACATTTGAAACAAAATGGGCACGCAAAACTATAGGAGTTTGAATGGGGTAAAGAACAAGTATGGCCTTACCTCAAAATTCTTTTGAAAATGTTTCTCATTTCCAACTGATTTTGTTTTAAGACGTAAAACCCGATATTTTGATATAATAGATAGTATTCAGACGCTCATATCTCTTGCGGTTTTTCACAAAATAGCCAACAGCGTGTGAACATAGGGAAATGCAGTTATTGACGTCGAATTCTCGATTTTGGCTATCGTTCATCTAAGGTTTACGTGAGATCAGCCAACAATATGCAAACGTTTCCAACGGTTTTCAAAATTTCAAGCAATGATCTTGAACACTCATCAGTGCAAAAACGTGAAGAATATATACTTCTTGCGGTTTTGCCCTTCAAAATCAGCATGTTTTGTGCTTATATTTTATCAAAATCAGCCGTTTTCCATCAAAAACACTTCGAGAAAGAACTGAAGTTGTTTTTAATCGGCCATCTTTGCTAAGCAACCGAGCCTTGGCTTGTTGCCATGGTTTCAAACATTTTCGAATATTTTTTCGCAATTTTGGTCATTTTCAGTGCCAATATCAGCTTTTTTGCTTATTTTTTATGTTGTTGTATTCCGAACTTACGCATTGCTCGCTTCTCTCGACAATTAAACGATCTATGGCAAAATAATTTTCCCCGTACTCATTCTTTCTCCTTTTCTTTTGGTTAGAAACAGCGTAATAATCAGCCGTCGTAAGATTATCCAACTCTTTACAAAACGAGATAGTGGTCATTTTGCTGCACGCGCGCAAGAATTTTACCATCTGGGATCTGGGTACAAGAATTTTGACCATGTCCAATATTTCTCGCCATGGCTGGTGGATCTGGTGGTTTGTAAGCAATTCCTTCCTGTCGACGACATACCGCACATTCATGTATCAGTTTTCGCACGTATTGACGACCTCTAACAATCCAAAATTTCGATCTAATCTCTGTTAAGGTTTCCTTTACACCATTGTGTTTTACTCTTTCGTGACTATCTCTCACTATTAGTGACGTTACGTAATGTTCCGCATCCAAGATTGCTGGGTGTTTCTGCGTCGTAGTTAATTCTGCATTCTTGAGTCTGCCTTCACATCTCAAAATACCTCTTTCATCACGGTACAGTCCGAATTCTCGCTCCCATTTTCTTGTCTTCGCCTTCGACATCAGTTGAAATTGAACATCTTTTAACCAAAGTTCCTCCGCTTGTAGCATGTAATCTGTTAATGGCTTTGCTTTAACGGTCGGATCTCTCTTTGATTTCAACATCTGGATAAATTTCAACACTATCGCTGTAGTTCTCTGTAGTTTGTTTAAGCTACTAAATCTCTTACAATCGACAATTTCACCAATATGTCCTACTTCACAGGTCGTGTTAAAGGATGACGTTTCTGAAGGTTTCTTTGACTTCTCTAATTTCATTTCCTTGATCACTTCCTCTGGAGGTTCACTCTCATTCATACTTGTTTGTTCACTCGGATCGGCGTAGATCTTCAGCCATTTTGGTCCGCTAAACCACATACTGTTTGATAGTTCTACTGGGGATGTTCCTCGCGACGGAATGTCAGCCGGGTTATCCTTGCTAGCACAGTGATTCCACAGTTCTGGTGGAACAAGACTTCTTATTTCTAGGACTCTATTTTGTACAAACTGTTTCCACTCACGAGTTTCGCCACATATCCAGTAGAGCGCAACTTCCGAATCCGACCAACAACGTATGGATGAAATATTGATATATCCTTTCAATGCTTCCTTTACATGCGTTATTCATCTTGCCAATATTAGTGCTGAAAGCAGTTCAAGTCTCGGTATAGATTGCTTCGTCAAAGGTGCTACTCTAGTTTTTGAAGCTACGATGTTCAATTGGACGCCATCTCTTGTTTCTAGCCTTAAATACACGACGGCCGCATATGCCTTCACTGATGAATCACAGAATCCTTCCAAACTAGCGGTGATATCTTCAGATATAACTCCGTTGAAATAACACCGTGGTATTTTAATTGGCGTCGCTTCTCTTAATTCCTGTTGTAACAATTTCCAAGTATTGGATGACTCTTCATCTAACGGTTCATCCCATCCAATGTCTTTCTTAAATAAGCTCTGACAAAACAGTTTCAGTTTTACAGTCAGTGGCGTAATAATTCCCATAGGATCATAAATTTTCGACGTCACTCGAACAACATCTTTCTTTGTTGGGTGTTGTTTGGGCTCCTCGTCAAGAAATTGCTTGCAGTCGAAAATAAAACAATCTTCTTCTGTGCACCACTGGACTCCGAGTAGTTTCTCTGTCATCGGTTGCGAACTTTGCGGTCCGGTCATAGTTTTTGCAAACGATTCGTCTTCTTCTTTACAGGATGTGTCGTTCTCGAATTTCTTTCTCTTCTCGTCCACAGTATTCAGATGTTTTTCATTTTCCTTTATTCTTTTCATCAGGGCTTTCGAATTGGACACAAACTTTCTGGCGTTGAATCCCCCTTCAGCTAGTCTCTTCTTCAGTTTGATGTACAATCGATAGGCTTCATCTTCTTCTTCGTCACCTGTTGCGATATCATCCACGTATAATGACTGTAACAATCTTTCTACAAACTCTGGGTCTTCCCTTTGGTATGCTGAGATATGGTACTTTAAGGTTGCATTCAACAAAAACGGACTCGAAGATAATCCGAAGGTGACTCGAGTAAATCTCAGTTCGATCACGTTTGGAGTTTCTTTCAAGGGATCATCAACCCATAAGAATCTAAGTACGTTGCGATCTTCTTCAGCCACTGAGATCATGAGGAATGCTTTTTCGATGTCTCCCGGCAGCGCAATCTTGTGTACTCGGAATCTCATCAGAATATCTGCTATTTTCTCAGTTAATGGTGGGCCGGTATACAAGCATTGATTTAAGGATGGACCACCACTCTCCTTCGACGATGCATCGTAGACCACCCTAACCTTTGTAGTCTCTCTGTCCTTGCGCACTACCGGGTGATGTGGAAGGTAATGCACTTCGCCAATTACATCACTTTCGTTGCTTGGAACCTCCTCAACAATACCTTTATCTAACTGCTCTTTGATCACAGAGTCATATTCTCTCAGGATTTCGGGCTCTTTCTTAAGTTGGGTTAACAATGAACTTAATCTCTTCTCGCTAGTTTGATAATTATCATGCAGTATCGGGTGTGACTCTCTCCATGGTAAACTAACTTCGTACTTCTGTCCGTCAAAGGAAATTCGTTGGTTGAATGTATCATAGACTGAGCTCTCATTAGGTTTAATTCCAAGTGATTCTAGCTCCCAGAACTGTTGCAGTGTTTTGTCTAATGTCTCAACGTTACGTTTTTCTGGGTTTACTGCAACTTCACATTTCAGGACATGCGTAGTAACAACATTGGTAGATGAGTTAGACTGAACTGGCATCTCTTTTACTGGACCTGATAAGACCCATCCTAGTTTTGTATGAATAGCCGCTGGTCCAGATTCACCTCTGGCAACTCCCCCCGTCACTAGGTTCCAATATTGGTCGGCTCCCACTAGGACATCAATCGGGGCGTGTCCCTCGCAATCATCAGCCAACTGTAAATTTGACAGATGTGAGTAACTCTTCACTGCATGCTTCAAATATTGCCCTTGCACTGGGGCACTAATTAATGGTACACTGATAGCCGATAATTTCACATCGTCATCTCCGTCCACACTAACACATAAGTCCACTATGTCACATACCTGAGTGGTTCCACCACTTGATCCAAATGGCTTGATTGTCAACGATTCTGAATGTGAGGTTACTAAATTCATTTCATTTCTAACTCTTTCTGTGACATAGGTTCGCTGACTCCCTCCATCAAGGATGATTCTAGCCTTTTGTTTACGATGTGGTTTATCTGGTCGATAAATTGTCGCTTTAGCTGTCTGGAGTAAAACTGCGTTCTTCGTGTTGACACACATTGTTGAGGACCCTTCAGGTACTGTGTTGTCTTTGTTCCTTTGGTCTTGCTTTGTGCTGTTTTCTGCTTTATTCTGTTTCCCGTGTTCTACAGTTTGTGACTCAACACTCCTCATTTCTTGTCTGCGAGTTTCTTTGCCTTGAGAACAAATGCTGGTATGATGTCGTCCCTGACACTTGCCACAACGTGTTCTTGATTGACAGGTTTTGCTTATATGGTTCTTCATGGTACAAACATAACAACGGCCACTACGTTTAAGGATCTCCTTCCGTTTCGTAACATTCGTGACTACTGTACAGTTAATCGATAAATGTGGTTGAGCACAGTAAATGCAGGTATGTTCTCTATTTCCTCCAACCACAAACGCTGATGTTGTTGTAGGATCTTTTGGGCCAAAATATTTACCACGATTAAATCTTTTATGTTCCTCCTGAGGGTTCTTAGTTGCTGCTACTATTTCACATCGTTCTCTGTTTGCTAGTTCTTCATTAAGTTGTTTTAAAACTGATTTAAAGTTCCATGACTTTCCCGATACTTTACTGCATATATCCAATCTAATTTCCTTTGGAATTTTGTTTAACAACAAAGGTAGAAATAGTTCGCCGTATTGTTCTGGTTTGCACCCCAGGGACTCCAGTGCCCTCATATGGGCTTCAATGTCATCGCTCAATTGTCTCATAGCCTTAAGATCTTTCCCATTTAAAACTGCTGGTAAGTTTATCAATAAATCCATGTCAATACTAATAATTTTCTGAGAATCTCCGTATCTTTCCTTTAATAATTTAACTGCACCAGAATAATTTGATCCTGTCAGGGGAAACCCCTTAATGGCGGATGCCGCTGACCCACTTAACGACGCTCTCAAATACGCAAACTTGTCGATTTCACTCAAATCTTCATTCGAGTCAATAACCGACTCAAAATTGTCCCAAAAGGATTGCCATTCAGTGTAATTTCCATTAAATGTAGATAATTGTAGCTTAGGAAGTCTAGCTCTTACCTTGCTACCGATTGAAATGCTGGATGTGTTGTGATTTCCCTCTTCTAGAGGCGGTGAACTTTCAGGTTGACTTGCGTTCTCGACATTTTTGCCTTCGTTTTCCTTTGATATTTTCGCTTCCTCGAGAGCTATTAAAGTCAGATTTATCGTGTCCGTAAACTCCGACGTCTCTTCGATTTCGGCTTCGATCTCCTCGTCTTTAATTCCCGTTAAAATGGACTTGTCAAGGTCGTTAATCACGTCTCTCTTTCGCTCTAGCGTAGACTTGTAATGCTTATATTTTTGCCGATGTTCAGGTTTTCGTTCGTCAAATATCGTCAATAATTCGTTGGTTTCACTTATTATTCGCCGTACATGTGTTTTGTGGGCTGTTCTTGATCTCTTGTCTCTCTCCAAGTTTTCTGCCATTGTAAATACTTGAAATTCACCAAAATATCATATACTTAACTGTATTCGGTTGCCAGAACAAACACTGGACTTCTCGCTGTGAATTTCAACTCTGTTTTCGCTCGTAATGTTATTAAAGTTTCGACTTTCCAATCCGTCTCGAAAGGACCATTTAATCTATTTATTTCTCAACTCACGCTGGGTGGAAAGTGTTTGTATAGATAACTTTAATAACTAAAACTCAACGTATAAAATATATGTTTCTCAATAACTCTCAATTTGCGCACACCTTCTCTCGCACATGTTCTGTCCCGTCATGCAATTCGCGTTAAAATATATCCCTTTTTATCTAAGCATGTTCATAAATATCCTACATACTATGAACATTTTTCCGACTGTGACCGAATGTGCAACGATATATTTTTCAAAGTTGTTAACAATTCCTAAAATTTGTTTATAGTAAAACAGCCTGCTCAGCACTCACTACGTATACTCACGATGATTTCATTTAGAAATGCAGTTACCAGGAAAGGAACTGATTCTAAAATATGTAAAATTAAAAGCATTGGCTATTACGATGTGAAGACAGGGTACAAACTTTTATAGTTGCTATTTGTTATAAGTCCTATAAATAAACCGATTCAACAATAATTTTGCCTCGAATTTGCATATTCTATGCTGCATGTCTATATTTTATTTTTATAGTATAAAAATAAAATTGTAATACTATGAAATAAAGTAGTACTTATTTAATGTCTTCTTCATCCAGCGGTCAGAGTAAATTTCTACTTCTACCAAGTAAATATTTGACAAGCAGTCTGGAATAAGCACAGGACTTTTAATGCATCAGCCACATCCAAGTGTGCCATCCCCCTCGCCCAGCCATTTTCCTGTAAAGCATATCCCGGGGGTTGGGCATTTCCACTCGAACCTTAGCCCCGGCAGGGCATTTGAAATTAATAATTTGGATTCTTGCACTTCACTTGTGGAATTAATATTAGAATGTTAGGGTTTGTAATCCAAGTGAGAAAATATACATGTATATATTTTGTAATCCAAGTGAGAATATTTTGTAATCCAAGTGAGAATATACAAATGTACCGGTATAGTACATGTATATATTTGGTGTATATATTTTGTAATCCAAATGAGAGTAGTTTGTAATCCAAGTGAGAGTATGCAAATGTATATATTCTCACTTGGATTACAAACCCTAACATTCTAATTTTAATTCCACCAAGTGAAGTGCAAGAATCCAAATTATTGAAGTCCACCTTATCACAACCCGCACGTGCCCGATTACCTAAATATACATGAACTTACGGTTAAAGCTCGACAGCTGGTCTCTTGTAGCTCAGTTGGTTAGAGCGCTGCACCGAAATCGCAGGGCCGTAGGTTCAATTCCTACCAGAGGACCTTGTGCTGCATTTTTCGCAGTCGTTCCTTGTTAGGTCTTAAAATGTATATATTCTCACTTGGATTACAAACCCTAACATTCAAATATTAATCCCAACAAGTGAAGTGCAAGAATCCAAATTATTGAAGCCCACCTTATCATGACCCGCACACCCGATTACCTAAATATACATGAACTTATGGTTAAAGCTCAACAGCTGGCCAAGCTGTAGCTCAGTTGGTTAGAGCGCTGCACCGGAATCGCAGGGCCGTAGGTTCAATTCCTACCAGAGGACCTTGTGCTGCATTTTTCGCAGTCGATCCCGGTTAGGTCTTAAAATGTATATATTCTCACTTGGATTACAAACCCTAACATTCTAATATTAAGTCCACCAAGTGAAGTGCAAGAATTCAAATTATTGAAGTCCACCTTATCATAAACCGCACACCCGATTAAGCCATTCACGTCCACCTTATCACAACCAGCACACCCGATTAACCTATATATACATGAACTTACGGTTACAGCTCAACAGCTGGCCTCTGTAGCTAAGTTTTTTGGAGCGCTGCAGGGGAATCGCAGGCCCGTAGGTTCAATTCCTACCAGAGGACCTTGTGCTGCATTTTTCGCAGTCGTTACTGGTTAGGTCTTAAAATGTATATATTCTCACTTGGATTACAAACCCTAACATCCTAATATTAATTTCACCAAGTGAAGTGCAATAATCTAAGACATTCATGTCCACCTTGTCATAACCCGCACACCCGATTACTTAAATATACATGAACTTACGGTTAAAGCTCAACAGCTGGCCTCTGTAGCTCAGTTGGTTAGAGCGCTGCACCGGAATCGCAGGGCCGTAGGTTCAAGTCCTACCAGAGGACCTTGTGCTGCATTTTTCGCAGTCGTTCCTGGTTAGGTCTTGAAATGTATATATTCTCACTTAAAATGTATATATTACAAACCCTAACATTCTAACCCTAACATTCTAACATTTGAAATTAAGGATTTGGAGGTTTTGCGATCACCGACAACTTGATAATTTTATAAAACAAAACACTTCTATCTCCAACTTTTACAATCACTGATAAATTGATAATAATTTAAACCAGTCTAGCTGTAGTTTAAATAGAGAATAATACATGGGAGCACGAAATACCAGATTTATTTCGAGTGTTGAACATGAGTGTGCAGCGAATAAGTGAGCGCAGCGAACGAGTGAGATGTCATGTTCAACACAAAAAATAAATCTGGTATTTCCAACCACCCATGTATTTTTCTGTTTATTATATAAAGGACAGTCTTAAATGAAAAGCGATAATGTTTACAGAAAAGCGATAATTGAAAAGGCGATAAATTTTTACATGTGAGATTATCATGAATAATTTCACATCTGAGATTATCATTTTTGTCAGTGCTGAGAGTGCTCGAAAACTCTGCAAAACACTATACTTTATATAATAAAAATTCATAAATTTGAACCATGCTAGAGCATGACAACAGCAAAATGCTCTATAGTATGATGCACAATATTTTGGGAGGTGATCGAAATACACGAACAATAAATCAGAGAGTGTTTGCCTGGAACTCACTGGGGGGGGGGGGGCAACACCCCTGATTATAATTGCTCATGATGAATTTCAGGTAGGTTTCCAGTGCACTTTTAGTACCTACATTTAAGTAGATTTGCAGAAGATTTTCAGGGGAATTCAGGTAATTCTCAGGACATGACTGAGAAAGTGAATTTGGAAAACAACTATTAAATTTCGGAAAAATTATTATATGTCCTGAAAATTTTTTGTACATCTGGAAACTTTTTGGTAAACACCCCCTCTATCTAACCCCCCCCCCCCCTGCGACGAAGTGCTCGCAACGGCACTGAGTATATATCTTTTGAAAACAGGCGAGGGGTTATTGCATGCATGTATTTCTAGTTGTATACGTAATTTGGCCAGTGCTTTTTTCTGGTCAGTCAGTCGTTTCAAAGGGGGAATGGTAATTAATGCAAATGATTCTTCATCAGATTTTTCAGCACTACTTTTGCTCTTTTTGTCCAAATAATTCAGTATTTGCTCAGAAACAGCATCTCGTGGTTTACGGTTTATCATCTTGTAACAACCCTATGTTTTCTTCAACCCTAAATACATCAGTTAGGTGTGACAAAGTGTTGAAGTCAATATAAATTAATTGTTATTTAAAGCTTGCTAAAATAACGTGACGGGGCTTATCAGCCCGCAATTTATTTCAGAGTTCAAATTAACTTACAGTACATCGCAGTATCAATAAATGGCTCCAAAAAACCCATGACTATTTCCATTCCTTTTTCTTTCCACCAGCATCACCACTTCGTCCTTCTTCTTCCCGTTTTCTTCTTAAATATGTATCTCGTAGATTTTTCCATCTTTTTTGGCAAATGTTGCTGAAAGTAAATATATATAGTAATCATTTATTGTCATTAATAAAAGCAAAATAAGCTCGAAGTGTCGAACTTTGTCATTTCTTCGGGGAAAATACAAAGTTGCCTGTATGCTAGCAACTAGAACTTTTCATAGAAAAAGAAGCTCGTCTCATATATCTGGCTTAACGTTGAAAACAAATATTATGAACTAAAGTATAAACAAAGATAATTTTATGATGAGAAAATATATCATTTTAAGAACGACTATTACTTTAATGTCGTTGTTTAGTGACCTTCAACTTTTAGCTCTTGGCTGATACTTGTCCATATATTTTCCTTCAACTCCACGTCCTTGTACCAACTGTGTGTTTTGCGTATAGTTCTGTAAACTTT